CCCGTTACATTGCATGAACACGTCAAGTTTCGAGTGCTTTATTGCAGCGATTACCCTCACGGATCCAACTCTAAGGGGGGATTTCTAAAATCGCAAATACAACTGATTATTTGGAAATAGACAGACGGAACTCTCCAAGATCTGTGACTGTGATATAAAGTATAGGACTGAGAGGCAGTAGTGTAAAACTTAGCTAGGAATCATCTACGAAACTGTTTAGGAGGGAGACCATAAAGTAGCCCCTCTGTTTGAATCTTACGGAGAATGGTGTCATTGTGAGCCGGTGGTGTAGGCGTGGTATCTTGTCAAGTGGCTGCAGAGTTACAGCAGGTCCGTGGTATGCGGAGAGAGTCCTTTGGCGACAGAACATACTGGGGAGTGTCATGATCTTATTCTGACTCTGGGTTCATAGTAACAAGAAGGTTGGTATTATAGAAATACATACGTGAAGAAGTGAAGCAATGATTATATAGGGCTATTATAGTAAACCTTGCATATAGGGCGCACGAATGAACGAACATAATTATTGACGATAACAATTATAATTACCATAGTTGTGGACTTGTGGTTAGGTGGATGTGGTTGTTTGTCTGTTTTCTGAAATATTTTGTCGATTAATCGTAGTTTAACCTCATTGGTAAATGAATTAACATGATGACAATTCTGGTGTGGTTGTATAGATAACATTTGGTACCTGAACTCATTACCAATGCAATTTTTGCCTGCAAACCCCTATAATATCATTAACTTTGTTTTCTATCATGTATTATTGCGGACCGAAAAAACACCCAATTCTATTTCGTTCGGCAATGTGTTCCGCTGTCTGTTCTTTCCGTCTAGTTTTATTTATCTTTTTGAGGTTATTCATAATTATGCCTATGATTGTCTGGACTTGGTTAAAGGAGGAGGGGGGCAATGACAATTCTTGACAGTACACCAATCAATTTACACCGTAACCATGGGTCATGCGATGATGCGATGGTGTGGGGGCGGGGGGGGGGGGGGGGGGATCCCCAACACACTGTAGTCGTACAATCAACAAGCATATAAAGTGTAAACAGGTGGAATATGATGAGGATCGAGGTTGATGGTGTGGAGGGATGGTAATCATTATTCTTTAATCACGATCACAGCATCTATTCTGACCTGTTGATAATGATTTACAGACCTAAGATATCTTGCTGATCACGGTGGTAACAGCTCGCTTCATTTTACTTGTTAAAACTATTTGTCTGTATATTCTTCTCGATCGACTACAGATACTCCTAATTCACCTTGATGGTTTCTTCGTGAATAATGCTCTTTCAGCAAAATTAAATGAGGTTTGAAAATAATCTTGAACAGAACAACAAAGCAAAAAGCAAACAAAACAGTTAACAAAACAAGGGAAAAAAGAAGAAAAAAAAGGGGAAAAAAAAAGAAAAACAGATCACTAATCGATTCGATATACGTTGTTTTAAAGTAAGAAGTGCAACATAGGCGTATCCAACTATATATCCAGACGTTGATAAATAGGGGCGAAATCTCCATAATTATATGCAGAGGGCGGGGAGCTCCTGTGTGTTGTACAGTCGTTGCGAGTTAGTGTCTAGGAAATTTCCCTTTTTTTAATATTGACTTCTTTTTTTCCTGGGCTGCAATCACACTTTGAAGATGGATGCAGGGGGGGGGGGGGGGGGGTTTGCGTACTCCAGCTTCATCCAGAAGGTTGGATAATGTGGATAATTTATATACACCACAAGTGGTTTTCTGTCGGCTGTGTATATCAAGCTCAAGAGTATATGGTTTAGCCACGTATACATCTCCCTCAAGTCTTCTTATAGTGTCCAGAGATATTAAGTGAAATATCTTCCTAAAAGCATAAAAAGCTGGGGTAATAGATTTTAGTCTCGCAGGAGCGGAGGTTCCCGTCGAGAAGATAACGAGCCGCACCCTTCTACTCTGCGGGGCCAGGGTTAGAGATGATGAGAGGATTCCTCACCTGTCATCAATTTGAAGGGGGCAAGATTACCGTATTCTGTATAAAACAAATTTCGCTCGTAGATTGAAATATACATAATCTGAATAGACTGTGAAATTGTAATAGGCTAACCATTCATCATGAACTAAAAACTCAATCTCCTATAGCTGAAAATATGGCATGTTTCTGGTCCGACAAGCATAAGTTTGTCTATTATATGCCCTGCATTATTTTGTTATTTTATCTGTTTTTATCTTGATCCATTGTTTGACTTTGACTTTATATCTTAGTCACGTTTATGTCAGACAAAAGTGAGACTCGTGCGATGATATAATTATTATGCTTGATGTTTTCAATGTCTTGATAAACTCGAGGCCTGGCAAAGTTTCCTTCTGATTTCGATCAGTGGCAGTAGGCCTCGACCACAAAACAATTGGTGCCCATTAATTTAGCTCGGTAATATTCCCCTTCAGCTTTCAAATTTAAATGTATGTCCTTGATACAGTATCAAATATAATCAAAGAGCAAAAGAGGAAGTACATGTACCCGACTGTCTGAAATTGTTTTGACGTTCTTTATTTTCCCATCGGTTACGAAAATACACATCCGGTTTCCCTGTGGTCAATATTTGTTATGACATCATTGTGGCTAATAAATTAAAAAGAAATGTTCGGCATTTGGGAGTTAGAGTTGGACTACTGTATTTTTCCCCGATTTTTAAAAAATTTAAACTTAGGTTTTAGTATCTTCAGTTATTCAGTTCCGAAGTATTGATTTATAGTTGAGTTCTCCATTGACTGAAAATAGTTTTAATTGGACGGGTGCTATAGACATTTTCTCTCTTAATCTTCTTTGCCGCACGTTTGAAAAATCTTCTTCTTATATGCAATATTGCGTATAGATGGAGGAGATTAGAGTAGGACTGCTTTGTCTTGTGTGTGTGTGTGTGGGGAGGGAGGGGGTGTAAGCTTTTCGTCAACTTTGGTCCGTCCTACTCCCCCTTCAATTAATCTAGTTTTAACGTGCTGGGTTCTACATACTCCTGGTTTTTCCCAATTCTTTTCTTTTGTTTATTTTTTTCTTTCGATGTTACCAATAATCATGAATACTGTATATACTTTGCATGTAACGTTTCCTTCCACCATTAAGCAGGAATTCGCATTCATATCTCCACTGTCTAAACAGGGATACTGTCTGTTATCAACAACCATGATTCCATGGTCTAAATGAGAAACATTGCTAATCCTACCTCTCGTTTCCCATTACAGGTGAATGATATAGCCCGTGGCAGGTGACCGGACACCAACCTAAGCTAAGGTCAGGTTGCCTTGACAACCGTGTTTTCTCAGGTCACTACCAAGACCTGAAAGGCGATCCTTCAACAATCTCAAGGAATTCCCTTCTATCAGGGTTAGTCTTGGAGGCACAGACCCTATTCAGGTAAGTTATAGTGGACGAACTTGACTGAAAAGAAGCAGTCTCGAATAAGAGATAAGAATACGTAAAGTCCTTATACGACATTGATAGAAACTATAATCATGTTCACGTATTTTCCAGACATGTCCTTTTGAGACTGAACTTTACAATGAAGGGTATAGGGGTATTCATTTCCGCATCTATAATTTTGATGGAAATATTATATATTTTTAGACTTATACAATCCATATTAATTAATTGTTAGCCTCTCATATCAACAGATTTTGTGATTCAAATATCTGATACAAAATAATGTATGAACCCCACAGATCCCATTGTGACTTTCATTTCATGAGAGAATGCTATTGAACTGTGGTTCATTTTCATGATGAATATTTTTGTAATCAACTTTTATCGACTAGAGATAGAGTCGTGGCTTGCATTACAATCGCTTCAAGTTCACTTGATAAGTTGATTGGAGTATTGTCGGCCCCTTTTTTTGGGGGGGGGGGGCGCACACAAATTAAACGTACTTGAACTGTACTCAGTGGCGTATTACAAAGGTGATCCAATTGGGGGAGGGGAGTAGGGGTTCATGGGGTTGGGACCGTTGGGCGATTGAATCCTGAACCTATGCTCCCGTTTGTTTGGTGAGACTTCTTGGCACTTATGTCAGAGTATAAATGAAAAGGATAGATGTGATTACATCTGGCAAACACGAGACACCCCTTGACGATTTGTTGTATCTTCACAGGCTAAAAGCTGCATGTATATTATGTTTCAAATCGAGTTACGCCTGTTGCTGGCATGCTAATCTCCTATTGTGTCATACCTCACACCTGTCAACATCAGGATGGATTTCATCCAAAATTAATCTGAATCGATATCCTCTCTATAGTCTGACATACAGATGAAAGAATGTAACACTTGTTACATTCACTGTTCATGCAGTGCAGCAGTGTGTATGATTAAATAATATACATACATACATACATACATATTGGTATTTATTTAGCGCCTTTACATGAACATGCTCAAGGCGCTTTACATTTTAAAATACAAACATAATAGTTATATACTCTCCAAGTGCATTACACTCTAAAAAATGACAATTACAAAGAAAACAAATGAGTTTTTAAATGTCTCTTAAATGGTGCGACTGAGGTGCAAGAACGAATGCTTAAAGGGAGACTATTCCAAATAGTGGGACCAGAAAAAAATTATATTTTGTTGACCCTTCTTCTAATATAGTCTAATTCTTGTTTTGTTTTAATCATTTATATTTGACATAGTTTGCCGAGTTACAATGGGTGCATCCAACAACAAGTTTTGTTCGGCGGACCGTCTCCTTCCTCGGTGTGAGCCAGGTGATCTGATCGAGTTCCTCCATCCGTCCTCGACATTCAACCACTGGGCCGTGTACGTGGGCGACGGCTATATCATCCACGTTCGACATCCATGGGTGAAGAAAGAAGCTCTAACGCAAGCTGCGAGCGGGAGACTCGTCCGTCTGAACAATGATAAACATAAGATTCTCAAATACAAACCATTACGAGCGGAGAAGATCATCAATACAGCCTATGACCAAGTTGGTTTGGACTGGTATAACGTTCAGTTTTATGGCTGTGAAATGTTCTGCATTCGGTGTCGATATGGAATTAAAGTTAATGTTGCTGACCTCTACAGAGAGGTCATCATTGCTGAACCCAAAGACACTCCCTATGCCATGTGTAACCCCATAGTCATGTATGGACATCAACAACATGAAACAGGGCCTGGTGAATTAGACTATCCAAGTTATGATTGACGCTGTTTGGAAATGAGAGATATACCCGTGAATAGAGATTTAATATGAACGCTAGGCCATGTTCCAAAAATGCACCTTGGCTGAATTAACATGACTTGTGATTAACATGGGAACAAGATAATCCCGCCAAATGACAGTAAACACTGCGAATGTAATAGTGCAGTCTGCTGCAAGCCATCAATAATATTGAAGCTGCATGTACATGTATAGTTGTTGGAAATATTGGACAGGCTATAAGCAAAATCATGTCTGTGTAAAAATGCACAAATATTGAGCATAGAGGATTCTTTATGTTTCGTCTTTGAGCAAGTTAGGCATAATACCGTCTATAGACGGATTATTCAGTGAACACGTGCATGAATGCCATCTATGCAATTCAGTTTGGAATGCAGAAATCTCTGTAATATTGATAGCTATCCATTTAGTGTGCCCTTGCAGAATGAAGTCTGTCCGTGACGTGATAATATGAAAAGGAAATGAGGTTGTCTGTGAGCTAATCTAAAGGTATTCCACCAAGCCAAGGTCATGTGGCGGTTGATGTTTGAACTCGATGCTTGGAAGGTTCCACATCAGTTGAGCTGATGAGGAAGCCAGGCTTAGCGGTCTCTAAAAACCAGGGAGTGGTTTGTTCTAGTCATGGGCGTGGCAGGCCCGATTCTATTAGGGGGCTGACGCCTTTCGAGTTTCGACTGAATGTAAACCATAGTTTGAAGTTTTGCGAATGAGCTAATCATACACTGTATTTTAGTGCCAAAATAATTGCGCATTAAACTAAATAGATCTCTATTTTTAGATATTTTTATACTGAAAATGTTAGATTGTGGTTTTTCCGAATGGGTTACCCAAATTTTCCCGAAACATAAATTCGGCGACCATGCCGGCCTATCTCAGGCCTTTCTCTCTCTGAGGCCAGGAATATGATAATTTTAGTCATAATTATGCGGACTTTGTCATGTTTTATTTTCTCCACCTGTAATTTAATTACAGTAATAAGTGAGCTGAGTGTGAAGTAGGAGATTGTTCCATACCGTACCAAGAAATATCATTTTGCTTTAAATATTCTTGACCTTTGTGGTATGATAATGTTCTCACACGTTTTACTATGTACATGTACGGGAAAACTGTTATAAGAATGTAATTTATTATCGTCATAATTTATAACTTTCTTCTCGATGATAATCATCTTGTATGTGTGATTATGTTTATAATACGATAAACATGAATTTGTATAGTGACGTACATGTAATTGATTTTTACCCTCTCATAATATGCCAAACTTTATAGGCTTCAATATCTTGAATATGCTATATTCCTTCTGCAGTGAATGAGTCTTTTTTATACATTTATAACCACTCTATTAATGGTGCTATAACTTTCGGAATTGATCACTGATTATTATTCAGAATGAAATTGATACATTCAGTATTATATTCAGGTTTGTCTTACACTTACAATACAAAATATCTTCTAATTTTATTTTTTCATCAACACATGTATCTTTTGAGTGGATACGCCTGTGATAAAGTAAGTTTTTTTTCGAAAACACCATGTGAATATCATGCATCGTACTGTTATTAGATTTGTTAAATTGACATCGACGCATATTTGTCATTCCTTTTCAGAACTTTTTCATCAGGTTATCACTCCACACATTAGTCTTCCCGTTGTTTTTACATTACATGTACAGTGATCACAGTGTAGTCCAGTGTCAAAGACATAGGCGCACGAGGGGCGGGGGGGGGGGGGGGGTTGGAAGTTATCACCTCATATTCAGGTTGCAGTAAGTTGCCCAATTATCATCATAATATTACATAATAATTATGCCCGTACGCGATATTATGCTCAAAGATAATGCGCTTCGTTGATCCAGGTCGGAAGTGAAGGTCTTTAAAAAAAAAAAAAATCTTGACTTTTAAATTTATGAGAATAGAACATTTTGATTTGGTACTCAGATTTGGTTTGGAAGGGGGTGTGCGGCTTAAGCGTCTAAACCAATACCCTTTTTAAAGGGTTATTTTGGCAGAAAATTGTACACATTATTATAGGGCTTCCATTCAAAACACTCATGTTTCCGGGGCGTACGCTCGAGGAAGGGTGTGGGGAGGGGCGGGGATGGATTACCCGTTTGAATTAGTCAGAAGCGGAGCTCTAATTAATGATATTGATAAATCTGTGCGACCATCGGCGAGGACTTAAGATGAAAAGCGAAATTATTTCCATTATTTTTTGAGGGATTTTGCATCTGGAAGTTTTACTTAATTGATTGATTAGTTGATTGATTAGCGAGCCATGATTAGGGTGAGTTATTATCCTGAAGAAAATAGTAACCCATGTTTGAGGCCAAGATCTGTAAAGTGGTGGCACTTTTAGGGATTTTGCAGCACAGAACCATACCCCATGTTTAGGGATCTTTTGCAAAGGCGAGTACACCCCCCCCCCCCCCCCATTTTGGAGAAGTTTTTTTTTTTTGGGGGGGGGGGGGGGGCGCTTGTTCGTTTAATAATCATGTCACCGATGAAGTTATAATCAGACTGAATTCACAATCTGCTCATATCGGTGAATCTCAGAATAAGATGGTTGGAAATTTTAATTACTTGTTCGGTGTAGACCTAATTATGATTACAGGTTCAAGGTAACCGTGTTTACAAAATCATAATTGTATGTGAAATACAGTTTTGTATATAGGCCTACTCCTTTCAGTTTCTGTAACATTCTCACCATAACATACGTGGGAACCCCTACTTATGCACGAATTCACCATTGATCAGCATCCTGCATATCTTTTTGTTACGACCGATTAAAAGTAAGATAATTTTGGAATAATCTTAATGTTATTTATAATAACCATCTCCTTGATCAATATTTGATATCACTTTTTAAAAGAAAATTTACGTTGTGTGTTAGCCTATAGAGCTAAATATAGAGTCGTGAATGAATTTGATCCAGCGAGTGTTGCATTTTTTTAATGAATTATTTATTCTTAATTGATGAATACATGTATCTCATTTGATAAATATACTGACAAATAAAGAAAAACAAAGTCTTATATTACTTTTTTGTTTTGTTGTTGAAAATTTGAAATTACGGACTAAATTATGCACCATATTCATACACAAATCCTACCCCCCCCCCACATCATACTTTAATGATGCCCTTGTAGTATAGTCTTTACTTATAAACACAGTCACATAACATTAAATTTGACACATAACATATCGAGGCCTGTATGGCAACGGAACCAGAAAAGGAAATGCCATCATTTTAATGCCATCAGTCTCTAGTTATTTTAAAATGTATACTCCTCCGTATAATCGGGGAGGTGCGACTACTCGGTACTCACTGAGGTAAGTTTTTATAACATTCCTCTTGCACGTTCGCCTCCCAGCAATTGTCGCCGGAGCAAATGTCATGGAATCATAATGCCTCCGAACACTGCTGTGCAAATAGCATTAGCGCCATCTTGCGGCATCCTGAAGTATGATGCTCCATCGTGATGCATTTATTGTTGCCGATGGATGCACCAATTATTTGTGCCCTCCCCCCCCCCCCCCACCCCCACTTTTCGTTTAAT